TTATGTATTTCCTTTTTTTTCTTTCTGGGTAATTCTGGTTGTCTAAATGTGCACCTCTAAGCCTCTAGGGAGTGCCAAATAGCCGTTCAATCATCGTTTGGAGTGCCCGCAGCGTTGTTGCAATGGGGGGCTCGGTTCGGGATGTCTGTGGGTACCGTTTTGTGGATGACAACGGACGTTCGTCGGAGTGACTCTCTGACTCGGTAGACGGTAGGAACCGGCAGTCCAGGTTTCCACTTGTGGTATGAGTAGGTGATGGATTGTTTTGGTCCATATTGGATGTGTGGACTGCCTTGTCCGTGATCCTCTGCCGCCTTGCTGCCCGCCCTCTTGCCATATCTTTCCCTGCGGCGTGTAGTGTGGTTGCCTTGACAGTGTTGCCTTGTGCCTTGCTGGCAGTTGCTGCCCATCTGCATGCCCTCGTCCTCCTGTGCTTTGCTTGTGTGCTGTGTAGTTTGGCTGCTTTGTTAGCACTGCCTTGCGATTCGCTGCACAGTCGCCTACCTGCCCGGGTCCCACTTGCATTGACTTTCCATGAAGTGCGCTTGTGTTTTGTGTTTGTCTGGCTGCTTTGTTAGTGTTGCTCTGTGCTTCGGTGCGCTGTTGCCTGGCTGCCCATCTTCTTGCCTTCCCTCGGTGGCGTTTCCTTCGCGTTGCACCTGTTCGCCTTGTAGTTTGGCTGCTTTGCCTGTGCTGCCTTGGGCCTCGCCGCGTCATTGCTTTGCTGCTTGTGCTGCAGTCCGTCCGCTTTCAACAGATGGGGATCAAAGGGTTCATGACCCAAAGCATCAATAAGGGGATCGCAGTGATCGTCAAGGGTTCACCGTCCTGATGAGTCGGTGTGCAAGTCCAACGAAACAAAATCTGTCATCATCAGCGTTATGTTTCTTGCTCTTCGTCATCTTTTTTGGGACTCGGGATTTTTTTTCATGTTTGCTGCCTTTTCCCTCACTGATTTTGCCTTGCTTCTGTTCGACTTGCTGCCTTTTCCTTCGCTGTCTTGTGCTGTTTCTTTGCCCACCCATCTCCCCCATGCCCTCCGCCAGCCTATGTGTTGCCTTATTGCTTTTACCACCTACTGTTTGTATGCCTCCTGTCCCTTCCATGAAGAATCGCCAACTCCCGTGTCCTTAAAAAAAAAACAAAAAAAACAGGACCTTGTGGACCTGGCTCCATATCCATTCTCGGGAGCGTCAGTCTGGTTCCTATATTCCACCGGCAAGTCAAAGGAAGACAACAAGAAACACCCTCACGCTTCCCCTTCCGTATGGCCACCTCCCACATCCATGTCTGAACATCCTCATGGTTTCCGTTCACACTGCCCGGCGACCGCTCCCTTTCCACGGCAATAAGGTATGCTCACAAAACGCCTCAGCTACACCACATGATATGTGTTCCCACAACATCGACCAACTTCGCCACTCCTGCCAGCGATCTCATGGTGTGCCGACGTTGACGTCGGAGCTCCACCTGGCAATAGAGTTTGTGCCATGGTGTGCATACATGCACACACCCTCTCACACACACACAGACACAAGCTATACAACCTTCACGTCCACAAATTTTTGAAATTACCAGAACAAGAGTATTATTAACGTGCACCAAAAACGAGAGAGACTTCATGCGCCTGATGAAGAACGGTTAAGTTACAACTTACAACCTTTATCATGTCAAGAAAAACATTGTATAAATTCACAAAACAAAAAAGTAAATATGAAAAATGACGAAGATAAAGAGGAGGCTACATATGACATGACCTACGTTGCCAGCATGTAGTCCATTGCTGATTTCGTTGTGCTGTACTCATCAAACATCAAGACCCTCCAGCCCCTGCACACGACAAAGCGAGAGGCACACACACACACACACACGCACACACACACACACACACACACACACACACACAC